CAAGAAACCAATAAATATATGGGAGATTGTTTTTTATTAAGAAGAACAAAAAAGGATTATTCCCGGATTCCCGGCCTAACTCCTCGGCAGATCCCGAACCCGTGCCCTATCACCAAGGGCACAACATTATTTTTTATAATACAATAGATTGAAAAATAACGAGAATGTTAATGATTATTGGATTATTCTATGTATTTTACCATGTATATTCCACTGCATATTTTACTTACATTGTCCGCAAATATGGCGCCGTGAGGCAGTCCGTTTTCGTGTTGCCTGTTTACTGGCTCTTGGCATCTTCTGAGAAAAAACAGCTCTATGTTTATAATTACAAATTACTCTCATTTTTATTGCGCGTAATAAATTAATAAATGCATATACTGCATATAATGCATATACGTATGTGCATAATATGTTAAATCGAAAACACTATGATATATCAATGGTTTAAATAATTAGTATAGAAAGGACTATCTGTAAACCTTTTCTATCGAGAGAAAAAGCCAATAGCCATTTGCAACCTAATATTAATTTGTGGTCTTTAAAAAGATTAATGTAAGTTTGTGAACATAACCGAGATAATTTCTACAAATTTTACTAAAATTGTTATGTTGTATTTTGATTTGCAAAATTATTTGTTTTCATAACAGTGATAAACATTATACAGTTTTTTAATGCAATGAAATTAGTTAGCAGCAAAATTACACAAAAAGAAGTTAATATTATTTTGCGAAAATTAAAATTCTCTTTTTTTAGGAAATTTCAAATTATTTGTGACTTGTTTATATAATTGTTACGGAAGTAAATGATATTTGTATAATTATTTGTATATGTATTAAAAAAAAGTGAACTTACTTGAACCGAATTACATGAATAACAAAAATTAAGAAAATAATGATTACGTAAAATCGTATAATCGTAAAGATTTTTCCTTCTGAGAATTTTGATAATATTCCGTTCCATATAGTAGTACCATTTTCATCTTGTATTCCAATATACTGTACTGACATATATGGCATTATTATTGCTGAATAAATAAATTTAATTATTAATTAATAATATTTAATAATCAATTATAATTATAACTAATAGACGAAGTGCGTTAATTATACACATTTTTTTCGAAACTAGTATAGGAAGTGAACAAATTTTACTATCAGGCAGAACCTTTTTTTGCTTGATAGAAAAAAAGTCACATTATTTTAATAAAATAAGCTGTTAAACTGTTAAAACGTATCTTTTATTAAGTTTTTTTTAAAATTAAGTCTATTAATGTTTAAAGTCAGATTAGTGAATCATTTAGAAAGAAATATAAGTAATTAACAAATTGACGTTTTGAATGAAAACGCAGAAAATAATTGAACGTAGAAATATATATCATGTTTTATATTCAAAATATGTGACATGAAGAAAATAATCAACGGATAATTTGTTTACGTATAATGTAAGCACACATACAACACACACAATTATCTCATTACCAGAAGCTATAAGCATACTGATGATACTCAATAATATTTGAATTATAGTATCCATTGTTAGATTTTATGATTTATATACTTTTTCTCCTAAAAAATAAAAAAATTAAGGTTACTATATTCTAAATTTTTTTTATTTGTACTTAAAGTTACCATTATTGCAATACTTTCTTGTTTGAAATCAATGATGTAGATATGTTAAATTTATACAAAATAATAAAAGAGATTAATTTTTGTTTTATTGTAGATAAGAAATCAATATAGCGCTAACTTGCGTGCAAAAGGAAAAAAAAGTATTTATAATATATATATTAGTTGACGCAGAAAATCGTAAGGCCACTAAAATACGTTAAATGTTTTAATCAGTTATTTGTAATAGTAACACTTTTCATGTTAAATTTTAAACATTGTATTTAATTATTTGATAACAGGATAAGTGTGAAATAGCTTTATATACAGAGTGTTCATTTGAAAACTTTCCAGCTGATTATCTCGAAAAGTATGAAAGATACAAAAAAAAGCTAAAACACGTTTTCCATGATTTCGAGGGGGAAAGAGAACGGCATTATTAATTTTTTATTTGGAAGGCGTTTTCACAACGTAATTTGAAGGTCAAATTTGTTTTTTTAAATGGAAACCTATATTTTTTATTGCAGAATTTTATTCTACACAAAAAACAAGTAACTTCTATAGGAAACATTTTTTTATTTGATCACTACTTTAGGAGATATTTAAGAAAACAGCAAGACTTAGTTACTGCATAAAATTTTGTCATTTATTATAACAAATGTTCAAAATGTTCTCCGTTGTTTGCTAAACAATAATAAAGACGATTCTCAAATTCTGAACGAACATTTTGGAAGGTATCTGTTGGAATAGCTCTACATTCCTGCATTGGAATGTAGAGCTCTACATTCCAATTCTTTGACGCAAATCGTTGATATTTATACGTATCTTTCGAAAACAAAGTTGATCAGATCGTTTATGTTAGTGTTAAATCAGTTCCTTTCTGTACTTTCAATAGAACAGTATACTATTCAGTCAAATGTGAGACTTGTACCAGAGATTATCTGAAGGATATCATAATTAAACTTTATAAAATGGTGTATTCTTTAGAAGAACGAGTTAAAATTATATTTATTTATGGAGAAAAAAGATCAGTGTGCTCGTAGAACTGCTGCTACATTTAATGAGAGATATGATAAATATGTTTCTCATACGTATGTATTACAACTCGTTAAAAAGTTTAAAGCAACAGGATCTGTGACAAATTTGAAAAGGAACCAGCCAAGATTTATAAATGAAGCTGATCAAATTGAAATTATGGGACAGTTTACTATGAATCCTACTAGTTCAATCCGACAAGTTTCAGTAACAACTGGTGTATCAGTGGGATCTGTACACAAAATAGTGAAATTAAACAAATTTCATCCCTATAAAATGCAGTTGCATCAAAAATTATTGGAGGAAGACTTTAATAGGCGGATTGAGTTTTGCGAAGAAATCACGGCTATGATCAACGCCACTCCCAATCTGATTAAAAACATTTGTTTTAGTGACGAATGCACTTTTTTTTAAATGGTATTGTAAATCGTCATAATTGTCATTATTGGAATGACGAAAATCCACATCTTATTAGAGAAACAAATACTCAGTGGCCAGAAAAGATAAATGTCTGGGCAGGCATTCTAGGAAATGCTGTAATAGGACCTCTGTTTTTCCAAGAGAATATGAATGGCAATCTTTATTTAAATTTATTAGACAACGTTATTGATCCACTTATAACTGATAGTCTTGAAAACCAAAACGATGACGATGGCAATTTGTTGTTAAATGAGGAACTTTGTACTCCAACAAGATGGTGCTCCCCCGCATTACGTGTTACCAGTTCGACAGTGGTTAAACAATCGATTCCCACAGAGATGGATCGGTAGAAGAGGAGCCATCGAGTGGCCACCAAGATTAATGTCTTTATTAATTATTAATATTAATTAATATTAATGTCTTTATTAATGAAAATAAACATTATTTATGTAGCAAAGAAAATATTACTATTTTCTGAGAGGTGCCTCAACAACCCAGCCTATTTCTTATATAAAACGCTCCTGCGCCAGAGCTATCGGCGGCTCGACCGCTAGCGGTCGAGCGGTAGTGGAGGAACAGGAGGCGTCGTCTCGGGAATTGGCCCGAAATGTGCAACTAATTCCGAGCGCTGGTATATTTAGTTTGCAAATTGGACTTAACATAGTTTTTACTAGAGTTAACATAAATTTTTGAATTAGTTAGAAATTATTTGAAAATTGAATTATCAGAAAGTTACTCAACTTTTTTTATTCAGTACTACATGACGAAAATTTTATATTAAAAATTACTGCTTTACATTAAAAAGCATAATTAAGTTCATCATTTTATAACACATGTGATAATAATTAGAATTAATAAAATTATTAAATTAATTTTAATTGATGAAATTACATTAAAAATAAAAATTAAAACTTAAGTATATTAATAAAAAATGTAAATTTTTTAACTTTATATCTCTCGGAATATTCAAAAGCTATGGCCATGTTAGCAGCTAAAATTGTCACACTGAACAAGTAATCTAGTATTTAATAATACTAATAATGGAGAGATATAAAAATTTTATCCTGCTGTCATATTGACGATGTGGAGTAATGGATGTCAGGATTCATGCAATTTTTCTTATCTGCATTTCGTCGCAAATTTGTTAAAATATATTGTTTGACACATAATATGAGGCTAAATATATTGCAATAAATGCACTATCTGGATTAATAGAAGTTCTCAGTCAAATTGAATATAGTTTTTCATTCATTTTAGGAATGCCACAAATAAATGAGATTACTTATTTTAAAGAACATTAATAGAAAGTCGTAGAATTATTCATGTATTCACGTAACTTAAATAGCCGTCGTCATTCTCACTTTCCTCCTGTAAAAAGTAAATTAATCATAATTTCCGAAGACAATATTTTTTGTTTAGAAATTTAGACACTGTCTTGATGATATAATAAATTCTTTATGCGCACATTTATGTACTAAAATACTGTGCTTATTAACTCTATGATTAACTGGTTCTATAAAATATACGATAAGTCAATAATTATTAGCATCTTCAATATCTTGAACACTATGAAAGTTAGAAAATAATATTTTCAACAAATGTATGAACGATTAAAACTTATTTAACGTTTTACGCAATCGATTTTTAAGTCCGTATAGTTATTTCGGAGATTCGAGGTTCAACTTTTTTTTTTAAAGTACATGCTTTATGTTTATGTTTATTATTTCATAGCTACTTTTGAAATAAATGTAATGATATATTTGTACCCTGTTTGGTGCACCAATTGTTATTTCACAGTGAACGTTGTTGGCGTTTAAAGAAGTATTATATCAAGCTATTGTTTTCCAAAATACTGCAAACAATTGACTTATTTATTAATATTCATTTTAGCATGCTTTTTCTCATAAACTCATTTAATTTTCTTATGTGTAACTGCGTGCAAACTTTTTGTATGTATAAAAGATGTATTTTTACAGATTGTTTTTAATAGATAACATAAGTGTTTTTCCAAATAAATCGGGATTTTATAAAAATTGTCATTGCTTCATGTTGGTTCATATTGGTTTTTAATATGAAATATTTTTATTCTAATTATTTTTTAGTAACCGTTAAATGATTTTGTATTGGAAATTCTTATATTTGGTTTTAAATAAAGTTGCTAGAAAATACATATAAATTATAGCATTTTATTGAAAAAAATAATAATAAAGATTTTTTAGGATTGCGCTGTAATCTATGACAATTGATCGTATTTTGTCGTTTATTGCTTTACGTGAAATATCGCGTTGGCACTTACTCGTCATTAGTCGCTTGCTACGCATTTAAGTTTAAAAAGGGCTTCGAACTAGATTTTTATTTATGCTATAAATAATTTTTGTAGTGTCTTTAACATGGTGTATATTCCAAAAACAGATAATCTTAAATTTTGTATACGTCATTAGCGTGTCGCGATCAAGATTATTTTATGCGGGAACAGTTGTCTTTTTGATTTGTCTGTACAAATTCTAAGCCGTTTTTTAGATGTTGCTGTTAGATACAGATTATTATTTTTGTAATATTTTCTCATGTTATAAAGACCATGCAAATTACTTATAATAATAATTTGCACGAAATAGCTTGAATAAAAGGTTATATCGATGCTCTTTTTTTAGAGCGATGCATTTTACGCATAGTACACAGTTAACGGCGAATAAGCAGCAGCGCCATATTTTGCGTGAAATTATAAACAATAAAATGTGATTAATTGTCCCGGACTTCAGCGCCATTCCAAACAGGATTTTTAAATCTCGGAAATAACTCTATTGAACAAAAAAGGATTGCATTACATAATACTTAATTTTTTATAATTTAATAAGTTGAAAAATAACGAAAATGTTAATGATTGTTTGATTATCTTATGTATTCCATCACGTATATTCCACTGCATTTTTTACTTACACTGTCTGCAAATATGGCGTCGCGAGGCAGTCCGTTTTCGTGTTGTCTGTTTGCTGGCTCTTGACGTCTGCGGAAAAACAGCTGTAGACGTCTGAGGAAAAACAGTATGTTTAGATTTGTTAGAATGTTAGAATTATTAGAATCATTTTTATTCTAACGGAACGTAACAAATTATTTATATGCATATGTGCATACATATGTGCATAATTTGTTAAATCGAAAATACTGTGATATGGCAATGGTTTAAATAATTAGCACAGAAAAGGTCTATCTATTATCTTTGCTATCAAGAGAAAAAGCCAATAGGCATTCACAACCTATTGTTAGTTCGTGCACACTTTGAAAAGGTTAATATAGTTTTGTGTTATATTTGTAACTAATAGACAAAGTGCGTCAGTAACACAAATTTCTTCTGAATTAATGTTGGAAGCGACAAAATTTTACTGTTAGAGAAAACCTTTTTTTCTTGATAAAAAAAATCATGTCCTTACTTTAATGAAATAAGCTGCTAAACTGTTAAAATGTATCTTTATTAAGTTTTTTTTTCCACAATATAGCATTTAATATAGCATTACGAGATAATTTCTACAAATTTTACAAAATTTATCATATTGTATTTTTATTTGTAAAATTAATTATTTTTATAACAATGATAAGCATTGTTCAGTTTTTTAATGTAATAAAATTAATTAGCAGCAAAATTATACAAAAAGAAGTTCATATTATTTTGCCAAACTTTAAATTCTTTTTTAAATAAAATTTCAAATTATTTATGACTTGTTTATATAATTGCTATGGAAGTATGTAAATGATACTTGTAAAATTATTTGTATATATATTAAGAGAAAGTGAATTTACCTGTACCAGATTGGTTGAATAACATCAACTAAAATAGCAAAGTTTATGGAAAGTAGCGTACTGATGCAAAACTTTTCTACTTTTAATGACATTTCCTCGATTATTTTGTCCAATCTAAAATTTTGAATATTTTCATTGCATGTTTTATTTTTTGTACTGTTTGTCATATATGGTACTATAATTTCTGAAAAAAATAAATTTAATTAATAATCAATAATAATTAATAATCAAATTTAATTAATAATCAATTATATTTATAACCAACAAGCGAAGTGCGTAAGTAACACAAATTTCTTCTGAATTAATGTTGGAAGTGATAAAATTTTACTATTGGGGAACCTTATTTGCTCGATAGGAAAAATCACGTTCTTGTTTTAATGAAATGAGCTGCTAAATTGATAAAGTGTATCTTTATTAAATTTTTTTCCAATTAAGTCTATTAATATTTCAAGTCAATATTAGTGAATTATTTAGTAAGGAATATAAGTAGTCAACAAATTGACGTTTTGAACGGAAACGTAGAAAATAATTGAGCAAAGATGCAGATATTTTGTTTCACATTCAAAGTATGCGACATGAAGAAGATAATTAACGGATAATTTGTTCATGCATGATGTAAACACACATACAACATACACAATCATGTCATTACCAGAAATTAAAAGCGTGCAGATTATAGTCCATATTTGGTTTGTATTATTCATTGTGAGATTTTATATGGTTTTTTTCTTCTAAAAAAAAAAAAATTACTTTCTAATTAAAAAAATTTTTAAATTTATACTTAAGGTTAATAATTATGTTAATAATTATTATTATTGCAATATTTTCTTGATTGTTTGAAATAAATGTAGATATGTTAAATTTATGCAAAATAATAAAAGAGATTAATTTTTATTTCGTCGCAAAAAAGAAATCATAGCGCCGAATTGCGTGCAAAAAGAAAAATGAAGTATTTATATTACATATGTATATTAGTTGACAAAATCGTGTGGTCACTAACAGGCGTTTAATATTTGTATTAGTAATCTGAATCAGAAAAACTTTTCACTACAATAATTAAATTTTACACATGAAATTTAATTATTTAATAATAGGATAAATGTGAAGTAGTTTTATATACATATATATTTCTTAACATATGATCCATAATTAATATTGGTGACAAAATAAAACATATATATTTCTTAACATATGATCCATAATTAATATTGGTGACAAAATAAAACAGTACATTTATCTTCTAGCAAAGAATTTTAGTACTAATCTTATTAATAATAAATATTTGTCAAATTTTATTTTAATACATAAAGTGACATGATATCATTTAACTTCATTTAATTTGGAACGATATGTAATAGTGTCTTATGAACGATAGTTGATGTCGACGAGAGGATCGAAAGAAAAGTATAAATACTTCTGAAGAGAGATTCGACAGAATGTGTTGTCATGTTAGCAATGATTGCAATACAAATTTATCAATTAACATTAAAATATTAAAAACTCTCTTCAGAAATTAATAGCAAAACCTTATTTAATCAACATTTAATACAACAAATATTAGCATTATAATGTAACTATGTTCATCTTACCAATTCTAAACTTTCGGACGTCTGTGTTTTCTGAACAACACCGAGACAATAAGAAGTAATCGGCTTAGGACGTACACATATAATATTCGACTTTGATTTGTCCATTCGCATCAATCTTATTGGCTTCGGCCACGGGGCCGAATTATTTGGCAATACGCAATGTGTGCTCTAGCGTAGGGTACGAAATTTGGAGGGGCGCAAAATTTTAATAAGCGTCAATAATTTTTAAAGTATTCAAAAAACATGTAAAAATTGGCCACTCGATCTATGATGACCCGCCCTTACTTGGCTCGATGCCGCCCACTTGCAAAACTCTATTTAACTAAGTGACAACGAGAAAAAGAAATAACTTTTTTTGTAGTTTCGCGCTGGAGCGCGCAAATGAATTTTAGCATAGGAGCGCTTAAGACAGTCGCAATAGCTCTGTTCGGCCATAAATATATTTATCCTTAGACGTTTATGATTCTCATATATCGTATCACATTATTAACTCGCATATACTGTCTTTTTTGGGAAGAATCTCGAAATAAATTTTTACGAATCTATTCCTTTCAGTTACTATATACAGATTTTTGCAGATTTTTGCAGATTAAAAGATTGTAAAATACACTCACCCGAAAAAAAAGCGGTACACTGAAAATGTGGGAAAAATTCATCAAATTTCAACTGACGATAACTTCGTAAATAATAAAGATAGAAAGTTCTATAAAATATGGAAATGAAGCTAAAAATCTCTACTTTAAGAATCAATTTATTTCAATGTTGCAAAATAAATTTATTGAAAATGGCGGATGACAAAGCGCGAGCATGCAAAATTGAAAAATAATGGTTCGAGTTTGCGACGGTGTGTGTGTGTGTGTGTGTGTGTGCGTGCGTGCGTCCGTGCGTCCGTGTGTGTGTATGTGTGTGTGCGTGCGCGTGCGTGCGTGCGTGCGTGCGCGTGCATGCGTGTGTGTGCGCGTGCACCACTGGGATAAGGACCTCATGGCTCGTTAGATCCACGATATTTTACGACTCCAAACCCTCCCGGTGGTGCGTGTACAATTGTGTGTGCGCGCGCGTATATTAATAATGAGTATGACCTCCTCGTGCGCGTATTACCTCATTCATGCGACGAGGCATACTTCTTATTAGTGTTCTAATTTCAGTCTGCGTAATGTCATTCCACTCTATTTCAAGAACTCTTCGAAGTTCTGGCAATGACTGAGGAGCAGGTATATGATTTCGTACTTTTCTGTTAATATTGTCCCATAGGTGTTTAATGGGATTTAAATCTGGACTCATTGCTGGCCATTCGAGTCGATTTATGCCAACTTCATCGCAGAAATCAAGCACTTTTCTCGCAACGTGCGGTCGAGCATTGTCTTGCATAAACAAAAAGTCCTCTCCGATGAAGTGCGCATACGGAACAACGTACTGTATGAGTACGTCTTCCACGTATACATCTGCGTTCATGTTTGCGTCAAAAAAGTGGAGATCTGTGTGAGCATTTGCAGAAATTCCTGCCCAAACCATTACAGAGCCACCATTATAGCTAGACCTCTCACTTACAGTACAGTCTGCAAATCGTTCTCCAACGCGACGGTATACTCGTTCTCGTCCGTCTGAAGAATACAGACAAAAACGAGATTCGTCGCTAAAAAGAACGGTACTCCATTCTGCATATGTCCAGCCTGCATGCTCGACAGCAAAATTGAGTCGAGTTACGCGATGGCGACGCATAAGCGAAGGTACATTTGCTGGCCTGCGCGGAAAAAGACCGTGTTCCGCTAATCTGTTTCGAATAGTGTCAACGGATACATTACATTCGCGGACATCTCTTAAATTGTTTCGAATTTGAACAGCCGTTCGATGTCTGTCTCTTAATGTAATTTAAAACAATAAATCGGTCATCGTTTTCATTCGTACAACGAGGACGTCCCGAACCAGGTCTTCTTTGGACAGAATTAGTCTCCAAGTACCTAGCATAAGCACGTTGCACGGTTGACACTGATAAATCAAGTGCCTCAGCAACGTACCTTCGACTTCTCCCATCTTCAATTTAACGCTACAACTTGAGCAGCTTTTTCAGGACTTATCGTCGCCATAATTGACCAATAATTTCAATGCGAAAAGATTAATTATTGTTTACTTTGACGAAGTCGTACGAATAAGTAACGCGTCTCGAAAGAAAAAGATCAAGAGAAATCAAGCACTTTTCTCGCAATGTGCGGTCGAGCATAAACAAAAAGTCAGGGCGGAGAAATCACAAAAGATCTGCAGACATCTCCTTCGGATGCAAAACAATTGATTGAAAAATAATGGTTCGAGTTTGCGACGGTGCACGGTATAAACAAAAAATTGTAGCTTATTGGGATCAAAAGCGTACGAAAGT